CGATGTAGGGTCGATGTGGGGTCGATGTAGGGTCGATGTAGGGTCGATGTGGGGTCGATGTGGGGTCGATGTAGGGTCGATGTAGGGTCGATGTGGGGTCGATGTAGGGTCGATGTAGGGCTAGGAGTATAGGAGATAGGAGTCACCAAGGTCCTAGTGATAGGAAACAAATTGGAATTGTTGGAGAACGAATGTTTGATAAGAATATAGTCCACTTTATGAACGCCTATTGGCGACTACCGTGTTTATCTCTTCGCCACCTGGTGAATAAACAATAAAGCCAAACAGGTCCCCAAAAACGGTGCTCGGCTCCGAGCCTAAAGAGCTCGGCTCCGAACCTAAGGAGCTGGCTCCGAGCCTAAAGAGCTGGCTCCTGGATTGAATCATTGAATCATAAGATTGAATTATTGAATCATGGATTGATTCATTTGAATCATAAGATTGAATCATTGAATCATAAGACTGAATCATTGTTTCATAAGATTGAATCATTGAATCATAAGATTGAATCATTGAATCGTAGATTGAGTGAAACTTCACAGAAGCTTTACAGAAGCTTTACAGAAGCTTCACAGAAGCTTCACAGAAGCTTTACAGAAGCTTCACCTGAGCCTAAAGAGCTGGCTCCGAGCCTAAGGAGCTGGCTCCGAGCCTAAGAAGCTGGCTCCGAGCCTAAGGAGCTGTTTCCGAGCCTAAAGAGCTTGGCCCCAAGCCTAAGGAGCTTTGCTGCGAGCCTATGGAGCTGATCAGTATCTTAGGATATCATTTCCTTAGGATATCAGTATCTTAGGATATCATTCGATATCTTAGGATATCATACAGTATCTTAGGATATCATTCGATATCTTAGGATATCATTCGATATCTTAGGTTATCCCCAGAAGATATGCAAGAATCACCTAGACGTTACGCTCTTAAAAGTAGACCGTACTAAATTTTGTTAAAACATTTTGAAGAAATAATTGTAAAACTGAAATCTTGTGTAAATTTTTGCCTGCAAAGCCCGTTTTTCCACCCGCGCGATCCGCCCGCCTGATTAGTGTACAAATATGTTGTACGTTAATATATACATGCACGCAAGCGTCGCTAATGACTTAGCAACAAATAACAACGTATATAACGATTACATGTTTTTATTGCAAAATATATTACAACTGTTCCAATTCTAACTTATGTTCTTGATAAGCTTACTTATGATCTGACTCGGTCATCTTAATAGTATATATGTATGTAGAATATTTGCTAAAATAACGTTGAACAACATGTAAATATTGACCTTAACAACGACGTTGACAACTCGGGATTAGAAACTGTTTAGTTTAAAATATGTCTAAAATATATTTAAAATATGATTTTTGTGACGAATAGATTCCTTATTTGCCCTCGTTCGTTTTCGTTCATCATGAGGCAGTCATGTTGTCTTTGACTAGGATGACCGACTTGACAACCATTATATTACAGGATTCCACACAAAGTCTTTCAAGTTTTGGCTGCAAAGCGCTCCTGTCTTGTCTAAATCGCTTTCTCTCTTCCCGCACGGATAACCCGCGACGCCCGCGCAATGAATATCCTAATCTACCCGTATTTATCCACACAGTAGAAAAATGCAAATCTCTGATAAAAGTTAATCCTTTAATTAGTGTCACCCTAACAACACATAGCAACCGGTGTGCTTTAATAAAATATAGAAATCACTTGACAATTGTATATCATGACCTCTAACTTCTATGTGTTTATATAACTCTGACAGCAACATATTCTCTCGTATATAGACCTCATATGGCAGATCGGGATTTAAATATTAGCTTAATTGTAGATACATAACTCTTTACCGCATGCTATTTCTCAGCGTTTTGACGCTTGATAATATTTATATATTACTTAACAACAAAACATATAGCTGTATACCCCGAATATATAAGTTTTAGATATATAACACTAATGCTATTTGATATAATATCAGATTTTTTACTCCTCTAGGAGCTAAATTAAAGGAATCACTTGACAATAACAGCAAAATGTCAGAGCTGTATCATAATATTACTTAACAACAAAACATATAGCTGTATACCCCGAATATATAAGTTTTAGATATATAACACTAATGCTATTTGATATAATATCAGATTTTTACTCCTCTAGGAGCTAAATTAAAGGAATCACTTGACAATAACAGCAAAATGCCAGAGCTGTATCATAATATTACTTAACAACAAAACATATAGCTGTATACCCCGAATATATAAGTTTTAGATATATAACACTAATGCTATTTGATATAATATCAGATTTTTTACTCCTCTGGGAGCTAAATTAAAGGAATCACTTGACAATAACAGCAAAATGCCAGAGCTGTATCATAAACGTGGAGGGACGCTAAAAAATGCGTAGTCAGCAAGTTTCGCCCGATCGTGTTTAAACCTGCCCGCGTGACGTCATTGCATATAATTATGACGTACAAGCGCCACCGAGCGCGACGTCATTACGCTAACCCCTCACTCCCTCCCTCACCCCTCCCCTCACTCCTCCTCACCTCCTCACCTCCCTCACCCTCCTCAAAATGGGGTCGAACGGCCTCTATATTACTACTTTACGATGTAATCATTGTTTTACTGTTAATTTTATATACAGGTCTGGAAAATTTAATAGATGAGAGTTGCAAAACTTGCAAATCTCGCTCATAACCTCACGTGTGTTTTTCGTTTGATAGCCAATATAATTATAACTAGGAGCTAGAGTATAACCATGCACATGTCGAAGTACAACCATTGTATACAATGCAGTGCTCGATCTACATGCAACAGTGCACAAATTGCAGGATGACCTTATTATATACTCGTACTCATTGACTCTCATTATCATAGACTGTTGTTCTAACAGCAATTAGGCTTTGAGAAGCCATGTATATTATAGATTAATTTGTAGCCCAGCCACCATAGTCCATATAAATTGTAGCCCAGCCTCCACATTTTATACCAATAATGAAATTAACCAGTAACTCAATTTTGTTGCTGGTAGTGTAATGGAATCTATGGGTCTTTCATATCCCAGAATTGCCTAATTATTGTAAAGTCTGCATAAAGCAGAAAAAGGCTCTGTTTTTATTAATGACCGGAGCCTATTGAGTGACTAAATATTGTCAGCCTAATCCACTTATTTGATTTATCCATGTTGCATTACTTTTGATTGCAAAACACCTGGATTATACATGATTTGCCAGCAAAATAGCAGCAATTGATAAACTTGAGTACATCATTGACTGAATGTATCAAACAGAATGCATGTTGGCGAGTTAATGCGATTTTAAGCATGGGCGTACGGGAAGGAAAAAGTTAGGGGGTTGGAAAGAAATTTTCCGGGGGGGGAGGGGGGGGAGAAAAGCGATTACAAAAAATTCCTATTAGATAGCATATTTCCCACATAATTGACAGAATTTCCCACAAAATTGACAGAATTTGTCCCATTTATTTCTATAATAAACCAATTTTGCTGTGAAGC